CTTGGACATCTGTTTGAATAAACTCATTGGGTCAAACTAATCTTGGACTTGTTTTAGTAAGTGTTTTACAGCACTTGCAACATAATAAGGTCATATAAGTGCCGAAGATTAAAGGTGTTACAAGAGAGTAACGTACACACACAAAAAAGAGGAGATAAGGACCACAGAAGTATGATAGGAAAGAAGAAGCAAACAATACCAGAGCATCCGCCAACCACCCACTCAAATCTTTTTGATCGTACTATTCCAACCAGGACCCGCCAAGCCACACTCTGACAACACCAGGACAAACAGAAGTACAGAAACTGTAGAACAAAGTGCTGAGAAGTGACAACATATCGGTACAACATCACACATCCTCCGACAAATCACTGCACATATCCAAACACAAGTACCTGTCCCTGTGGTTTTATGCACCCCGCATAATGCAGCAAAATTTGATCATTTTACAAAATAATTTCTGATTATTTTCCTTTATCTTTTATCATTCTTAGTTAAAATTAACAAAATCGCCTAATTTCTCATTTTCGGGCTCAGTTTGCATAATTTCAGAATTTCTCTTGCATAAAATGACGGGGACAGGAGTATAGAACAGACATTACAGGGTTCCTGCCATGAACTCCCCACCAAATTCAAGGAGGTTTCAAGGAGAAATTTTTAAAATTCTAGGAGATTTGGTCAAGAAATTCATGCCGAAAGCTATTTCCGGTAGGTCTACACTTGCCCGAAAGGAATCGTAGTTTCAATTTTCTGACAAACATATTGTTCATGTCCAATCCGGCGAAATTCAAGGAGATGTCAAGGACTCCTTGAATTCAAGGAGGCCGCAGGAACCTTGAAACAAAACTCACAAAACTCCCACGTCATCGTAAAACCGTACAAGTCTACAGGGAGTCTGGCGAGCACACTGCGGCTCAATGTACAGTTCAGAACTACGTTTACGTATTTCGGCTCTTCAGCTGCACTAGGCCCAGAAAGCAAAACTTGTTCACTAGCGAGAAAAAACTGTCTCATTCTTTTAAAAATTGTACCATACTCAAGTTAAGTAACCTTTCTGCCTTAAAAAAAATTTAGAATTTGAACTTCGTCAAAATACTTCTCGAGCAACCTATACAGAAGATGCTAAACGGTAGAACAGTGACTCACTCCCAATGCCATACAGTAGAACAATGACTCACTCCCAATGCCATACAGTAGAACAATGACTTATTCCCAGTGCCATACAGTAGAACAATGGCTCACTCCTATTCACTCATCTCTGTCGGAGCATAAGAAGCTGTTACATTCATCAATTTCTCTCACTCACAGAAACATTTTCACAAATTTTGAACATTAACGTTTCCAACTTAAGTCCTTGCAAATAGAGGAAGAAGCATAGAAGCAAAATTATCATTGCGTCTTTTTCCATTGCACGAGTCAACACCGCACCTTTTTCAGACTTCCTTCCTGAACAGTTTGAAAAATAACAACAAACCCCAACAACCTAAGAACAAAGAACGTTTTCCTGTGTAAAGTTCTAACACAAACGAGAGAAAACAGTTCTGCACAGAAAACATTATTACTCTGGTAAAGTAAAAAGTAAAACTCCCTTCCCCGTCTGACTCATATAATGCATGTGGCAAGGCAAATAGAAGCAAAACAAACAAAATACCATCTTTTCCACAACGTAGAAATGTACCTACCCAAACGACAAATTGCACCCATGGTCAACAAGAACATTGGAAAAATACATGCAACAAAACAGTAGGACATTTTCAAACACGTTTTGCCTCGTGACTGACACTGTAAATAGCGAGACAACGACTGCTGTACAAATTAAAAAACCCACGACAAGAGGTTCATTCTATTACAGTTGGGTCTACAATACAATATCCAATATCTCTAACCAACTCTCGCTGAAAGCGGAAATAACTCAGCCTTTAACTAAAAGAAAAGACAAAGGCGTGTCATTTATCCACCCTGAAAAATTTCATGTAACGACGCATTACAACCACATGACTCAAACACACGAACTGCCAACGTCATCATTTCTCTTTACAGCGGAGTGTTAGGAAAAAAAAATATGTCTGTTGCTTCTCATTTTGACTGAGCATAAACAATATTAGTTTGGATTTTTACTATAGATACGAGTTTAACGGTACTCGCAACAAAAGTAGGTCATGTAAGTGCTGACGAGGTATCACTTGGGCGCAACATTTCAAGAAAAGAAGGTGAAGAGATAAGGATGACAGATAGTCGCGTCGCTGGGAAAGAAAACGCAAACCCCACCAGAACACCCACCACCCACCCACCCACAGACAGTACCAATATATTATGATGTTGACGGAGAAGATAACAAGTGACTGACACGGTGGGTGGGTCAGGCTAAACGACGGCCAAACTTTGTCCGTGCCAAATTCCGTTTAGTTTTAGTAAAGAGTTTTACGGCACTTGCAACACAATAATGTCATGTAAAAGCGCCGAAGACCAGAGGTGTTACGGGGGCTCTCGTGGCCTAGAGGTAAGGGTTGGCCTCTCATTCAAAGGTCCCGGGTTCGAATCCGGGTAGCGACCCAAAAAA